CAGCTTTGGAGCCGGCTCGCATCGACAAGTTTTTATGTAAAATTATAATGGGAATGAGATTCAGATGGAAGTTTCTCGTGGAAATCGGGTCAGTGTAGAGATTTTACGTATTGGTGATATGAGTCGTGGAAGTGACCCACTATGTTAATCAAGCTGACATATTTGTAATGATCTGGCAGGTTGTATTGCAGTTTCAAAAACAGAAGCATGCGATTGCAAAGGTAAAGAGAAAAATTAAGGATAATCAGAATATTTAGTGGTGATCACCCAAGGCAATCATTCTATGTAATATTAGTAATAAATGTTCTTCTTCTTGTTTTTCTTTATAGAGATGTTTCTTTTTGGTGCACAACCAGTGCATGCAACCAATAAGATCACAAGACTCTTGAAACAGATTCCCTGTCCCATCTTAATAATTTTATCTAACTGATAAAATGATGTGTGATTATCAGTTCACCTGCGTGCTGACAGACCCCGTCAGAGGATAGTAGAGGGTGAGTACGGTCACAATATTTGTCGATTCCAGTTTGCTCTTTGATTTCAGTAGCCTCCATAGTCTGCCACCCTCCATCAGGTGCTCGATTACCGCAAGTGTCACATCGGTCTGCAGACTCGCAGGTCGTCTCGTGCGTTTCTAATCACAGGTTGCTAAAAATTCTCCTGGCCATCCAGTGACTGTCTGAAGGGCATTATTCCACCGCGCTATTACCAATTCCCTGTAACGTTTACGGGCATTTCTTCCATAGAGAACAGCTGTCTTTGTGTATGGGCGTTGTTCATCTCGCACGGCTGTAGTCAGACAACTGATTTCACATTGTTCTCTATTCTAATAGAGACATTCAAATAATCTTCTGTTGTGAACACACATTAGTACTGGATGACTTTCAGACGCCAAACAAAATTATGAAATCCGATATTTCTTTTAGAAAATAATAATTGCCATTAGTTATGCCACAACCCTATCTATGTGTGAGAGTATGTGTAGTAAGTTACTTCTTCTAACAAGTTGTGTAGTGACAACTCAGGACTTGTGAGTCCTTCATGCGGAAAAATCGATTGAAGGTAAGGGGCCACTCATAAATTACCTAACGCAAATTTGGAGTAGTTTGAATGCCCCCTCTCCCCCTGTAATGCACCTGTAATGCGCGCTTGAACCCCCTCTAATAATTACATATTTCGACAAGCCTCCAATATGTAAAACTCAATTATGTAGCAGAAAAGAGTTGTATTAATTGTATTTTTTTATACATTAAAAATTAATACAAGTATAATTAACGCGAGAATTTATTGGTGTGCAGCGCGCATAACAATAAGTTTGGGGACAAATTTTGCTTTCTCGCACTTACTAACATAAGAAGTGAAAGTATTGTTGTAATCATGTGCCGTAATCGGCAAATTTCCGACACAAAATCTCTTAATGCCAGACCCTGGTAAGGAAAAGTGGATAAATCCGGTTACTAAATATACAGAAAAAAAATCCTATAACACGTGGTGTAGCCAGAATCCATGTTTTGTGAGTGCTTCATACCGAAAAATTTATTGACGACAAAACGTCAGTCTGTCTGGTCGTCCGTCTGTGCACAAGGCTAGCGCATAAATCGTTCAGGCGATTTTCTCTAATTGATATTCCTCAATCGTTCTAGCTGATGTCACGGACCCTAGGATGTGAAATCGATGTTTTATTTCTAGGGGGTTCTTTACATGAAGTCCCTGGAACATTTTCAAGAAATGGCTCCAAATTATTTGATTAATTTTTGTTGTTGCATAGACGAGAAATTTTCTGACAGGTAATGCGCATTCCGTCGTAGATGATGCATAGGCTCTGAGTCTACTATGCCAACTAATTGATGAAAGATGTTTTCATTTATTGTAACAATTTATAGAATCTAACTTCTTTCATTTATTATCTTTTTCATTCAATTTGTTAATATGGTAATGTTTTAGAATAAGTATGAATAAAATGAATTATTTCAGCAAATATTGAAAGATTTTAAAAATAAATATCAGCATCACGTAACTAAACTATGACCCCCCCATACCCCTATGTAACGTTGCCTCAAGTCCCTTCCCCCTTTTAGCGTTATGAAATTTATGGACGACCCCTGAAATGTCTGTCTGCCCATCTTTCTTTCTCCGTCTGTGGTAAACGGTAGTGTCTAAACTGTTTGGACGAATATCTCAAAAATTGATATTCCTCGATCGAACTCAAGGTTCTGCAAGTGTGAAACGGCCATTTTAATTTTAGAGGAAGCTTTACTTGAAGCCTCAGCAACATTCCAAAATTTCCCCAAAAATGGTTCCAATTTTTTAAAATAAATTTTGTCTTCTGACAGCGTAAAGGACGCTTTAAAAAGACGCGTGCAGGTTTAATTTTGGTTCTAGTTTATTCAGAATCTTAATATAATGCATATGTGAGTAGTATTGCTTCAAACGATTTTCAGTAAAGTTTCTGAAATTCTCAATAGTTTTCTGCGGCAACAGAGAGTTGTGACAAATAATTGTCACCGCGACAGGCTCTAACCAGATTCTTCCCTCTGAAATGAAGAGTCCGAACCCGATATTTAACCACTTCGGCCACCCGCGTTTTACGGAGATTTGACACTTCTATAATAGCCAAGAGCGCCGAAGGACGTCAATGGATTTGATGATTCATACGATTTACAAATTTCATTGGAAATGTGAACAATTGTTTAAAAGTTAAATATTCAAAAATCACATACATACACTTCCAGTTCATTTATCTTTATTAATAGTATTTGCAATTAGAATTGAGTCAAATTGTTTTCATTTTTTTAAGGAATTAACAATTATTTCCTGTGGCGACATAAAATTGTCACAAATGATATTTCCCAACGAAGACTTAAACCAGCCAACCAGCCCTCCGGAGTGCTCAGGCCTTAACTCCAAATTAGCTACCTCGGCTATCAAGTTACGATATTCATAGAATTTCATTATAGTAATAAGTGTGTGGTGGTTTCAGTTCTAGCATTATGGAGCCGAGTAATTAAAAAAATTGAAAAATGTTTGCTTTTCGGGCGACGAAAGAAAACAGGCGAGAAGACAATGATACTTATCGAAAAAGGTGGTCAAGAGTAGAAATAATAAAAAAAACTAATTGGGCGAGAAAGTCTGTGCCATTGTATAGCACCACTAGTTATTTATTTACATATTTAAATAATTAATTTAATTATCAAAATTTGACGCAAAATTAATCTTCAAATTTGTAGTTTTGAAATGTTTTGCAATTTTCAAAAAACGAGCAATACCCGAAAATGGGACTAGCACCATATTTCTTACCGTCTGTTATTGCATACGAGGAGAAAATTTAAAGAAAACATTCAGAGCGGTTTTGAGAATTTTTTGTAAATTTCCCGCCCATATTGCGCAAAACTACTCGTTTTTTTAAAAAAAACTCTACATTACCTTTTCTAAAGAAATATTTATGTTCAATTCTTTGACTGAGCCAATAATCTCAATTTTTAATGTTGTACTTTTAAAAATTATTTTTGCAAATCTTTGAATCGGGAATATCTCCGTATATAAGACCTACACCATTCTCTCAAACGTCTTTTGCACTATTCAACAACAAAATTAAATTAAAAAATTTCGAATAAACTATTTGAAAATATTGAATATATCTGAGGTGATTCATGTAAAGAACCCCCTAAAATTGAAATATCGGTTTCAAATTCCAGGAACCTCGACGTTAGCCAGATTCATTGAGGAATATCAAGTTTGTAGAAAATCGGTTCAACGGCTTAGCTGCTAACATTGACCACATACGGACGGATAGAAGGATGGCCAGAGGGAAGGGCAGAGGGACGGGAGGAGGGACGGGTGGAGAGACGGGCGGAGGGAGGGAGGGAGGGACGGACGGAATGAGGGAGGGAGGGACGTTTTGCCGCCAATCGATTTTTTGCTATCAAGAACCAACAAAACAGGAATTCTGGTTACACCACGAGTTAGAGAATTTTTAGCAACAGAATTTATGCACTTTTTCGTTACCAGAACCCGGCAATACGGTTTTTTCTGGTGAAATTTTAGGCGCACGATTATATAACTTCCTCTTCTGACGAAGAATTTGTAAGGCGAGTAAGTAAAGAAGATTAGCACCTTTAGGGAAATCTCATGTTCCACGCAGGCAAACTTTTTTTGTTTAAAATTTGAGCTGGAATAGAGCAAAGTGCTCTTATAAACATGGCCAGTGCAATTTTTATTAAAACTTGTGAAATTCCGATAATTGTAAATTCGTATCTTCAGAGCTTTTTTTGGTGAATAGAGTTTTTTTAAGAGATGGCTAAAATGATAGCAGAGTACAAGTTGCAATATTATAATATTACGTAAGTATCACAAATAACAGGAGAAAAGATGTAATGTTGAACCACCATTCTGTTCCATAATAACCACAAGTGCTTTAACACAATGAAATAATCAAACGTAAAATTTGCTCAGATGAACTATGAATACTTATGTCATATTTATGTTATTCATATAAAGGTGTGTATGTTCTTTCCTTATTTTTAACCTCTGCTTAACGTGATTTAAGTGATAATGTGTCCTCGAGCACGGACAAACAATTAGTGTTTGCTTACCAATGCAGAAAGTAAATTAATGGAATTCTCCACTGACATACATACGAGAGCATGCGTAGACGGAAAAAAACAGTTAAGTAAGAAATTTACTTGGAGTATTTTTCCCTTAGATAAATCGGGGTAAATCCGTAACTTCAGTGACATCATCACCTTATTGGTATAGTTCTAACTTTAAAAACGACAACCTACGAATTGTCTCCGTATTAGTACTTTCAAGGTCAATTCAGTGCAATTTTATGTAGTGTTCCGTGGATTATGAAAGACATGAATGCGATTGGAGATTAGAGTGTCAAGGTAATCTGACTGAAATTCTTTTAAAAAAATGAAGTAACAAATTGATATTATATAAAATAATATAAATACCCCTCGTATGAGAACCAGGAGCTGCAAGTTATTAAACTTATGTACTTGACTTAGTTTCCATGACTCCAGTGTTTTGAATGCGTAATATCTGCATAGCTTTAGAGGCCAGAAATGGTGTACTGGAAAAAATTATTGAATTGAAACATCATTTATTTTTTTCATTTTTGATATGACGATCCTACTATGCATTTAAATATCCTCAGAATTTCAAGTCGTTTGGTTTTTTTTTTCTTATTCTGTATCCAGTAGGTGTCACATAATTTAGAAATAGTAGGTTTGCATGAAAATCTTTTATTTTCGTTACTGTACCATATTTGCAAAACTTCCATGAGTTTTCATTTATTCGACTTTTCATTGAGTGGCTTCTACAAAATGGTATTTTAATAGATTTCAAAAAATAAATAAATTTGTTGCATAAATTATAGAATGTTAAAAGAGAACAGTTACAATAGGTAGGAAAATGATACGAAATTCCATCATTGTGACTAGAAAAGTATCCGACAAAAATAAGAAAGTGAAAAGTCGACAGTAACAAGAAAATGACATTTTACGCATTTATGCACCCCGCTCCGAGGAAACTCTGGCTTACTTACGGGCGAACGCGCTCATCAACACGTTTGCGATCTTATGTAGATGGCAGTTGGGCAATCGCAGCAACACAGTAAATGTTGAACTAGTTCTTCAAAAACAGGACGAAGCTCCTTGTGGCCCCATGGAAAGGACCGGAAGTTCGGAAAATGTTCAAAAGAAATTTTTATATTACATTAAAACTACAAATATTTTAACACAAACTCGCATAAAATGATTGTTAGATATTGTTAAATTTATGTAGCGTTGGGTACTAACTGTATGAAATTTTCCTTAATTTATCTTGCAATTAATTCTGGAGTGCGTTGGAGACCCCTCCCGCTGGGACTCTCGCTGGTGGCGGCATGGGATTCGTACGTAGTGTCCTTTCTCCGAAGAGGTCTCTGGAGAGTTTTCAAAACAGACGGATCTCCGCTTGAACGACTGCAGTGCTGCTACGGTTCCGGATACCCGCTCTTGGGATAGAGGCTTCGGAGGAATCGGAACCAGTGGTGAGATAAGGAAATCGGATAATGACACATGAAGTGTGAATTCCTCTTCATGTGCGGTAAAAACAGAAAATTTTCGTTGTGAATAAAATTTTGACATTATTCGTTGACACACATTTGACAGAAAAGGTGCTATTATCCTTTATCGCATCCTACGTGAAGGAATCGATACACTACAGCAGCAATGCAACAAAATCTATTTATTTAAATCAACACCATTCGCTGCCATAGCAACAATATTTAAATGTTCATTTTTCTTTAAAACCTTTCAGTCCCACCTTCGTCAATGTAAAATTTTCTCATAATAAAATTAAGTGCAAGAAACTAGTGGAGCTACAACAGCACATTCTCTCGAATTATTTTTTACTTTTGCAGTTCTCTGAAATTCGGAGAGTTCAACGGAAATTATACGTGCGCCATTCTTTTAAGTGTTCTCGGTCTATGCAAAGAAAATATGTTAAGAAAACATTTAGAGCAGTTTCCAATTCTTGAAATTTTAAAGAATACACCTAAATGAAACCTGTGCCTTTCTTCAAGCGTTGCTTGAGGGATTCGTGGAGAATATATGAGGCGATTTTTGAGAAAATATTTTTTAAAACCTGCATGAATTTCAAGCAAACATTAGGACAACCTTCTCGTATTTTCAAATTAATTGTACATTACATTCTTTAATGCAGATTTTTTAGAACAGATTTCAAGGCAAACAATCTCTCTCTGTCTCTCTCTTCAACTTTATAATTTTCAAATGTTAAAATTTTACAATTTTCAAAACTACAAAGAGTTCACAACAAATGAGAATACCACCACTCTTTTACCGTCCTCTGGTACATAAAAGAAGAAATTTGATTAAAATTTCGAGCCACCTTTGAGAAAAATAGTTTAAGAAAGTTTAAAAATTTATTTAACGGAAAATTACGCGAAAGTCAGTCTTATTTTCCAAAAATTGTACAAGAACTTATTTCCAAACCTGTCTTTAAAGAACGGATTACATTCGGAAGAAAGTCTCTATCATCAATATTGTAGAAGCAGAACGACTCGAAAAATATTTTGAACTTGTGCAATTTTCAAAAAATTAGGAATATTAAAGAAAATGAGGCCTGCGCATTCTTTTAAGTGTCCATTACGCTATCCGAGAACAACGTTTAATAAAAAAAACAAGGAGCCATTATTGGGAAAATTTTTAATGTTGGTGCGGCTTCATATGAAGTACTTCACAAAATCAAAATATCGGTTTCATACCCAGAGGGCCTGGAGTTCATAGGACAACTTCATAATTTTCTCAAAAATGGCACCAAATTTTGTCTTCGAATTTCTTGTAAGAAAAAAGCAAAATACACATATAAAGGTGGCTTAGATCCGTTTTTGTGCAATATGTTTAAAAAATAACAATATTTTCTCAAAAACTGTTCAATTTTTTTGAAATCTTTTGGCAAGGATAATTCTAAATGCACTCTATGTGATTACTTAAACGCCATTTAAATATATTATTCTGTTTTTAAAATAGTACAAAAGGTTTTTTACTAGCCTCCGGCGAGTTGTTGATATTATTGATCTACAAACACGTGTGCTTTAAATGATGTCTTATAAAATTTTCACACAAACTCAAATCTTTTGTGTCAAAATGGGCTCCAGATACCGCATTTTCAGAAACGCTCAGACGCCATTTCTTGAAAAACGGCTCCAATTTTTTCTTCAATCTTTTCGTACGGATAGTGCTAATTGCACTATTTATGATGCCATAAAATAATTTACTGTATTCTTTAATTTTTCAAAAATTAGATTAAATGCATTTTTGAAAATATTTCTCACGCCTTTAATCTACATTTCCAACGATTTGTTTACATTACTACATGTGTAAGTGAATGTGCTTAAAATGACTTCAAATTAAGTTTTTTCGAAAGCATGAAAGATACCTGTGAAAAATAGCTTTTAATTTTGCATTTGCACTAGGGCTAAAATTATTTTTTCTTAAAAATGGCTCCAATTTTTTCAAACATTTTTATATAGAACGGAGGTTAACTCCTCTTTAATATTTAAAAAGTAATATTTTGAATTTACCATTAGGAAATCGAAAAATTGAGAAAACGTAAAAAGAAGTATTTCGGGCGGCGATTGATGTCTGCAGGCAGGAGGATGAGGCAAGACCGTAAAGGTACCCATTCCGAGGAAATTAGAAAACTTTACTACGAGAAAGTCTTTGCCTATCTTTAGCACCACTAGTTCCACATTGTCTCCAAGAGACTGTAAACATTTCTCTCAACTGTCAACAAACTTTTCGATTCCAGATGCGTAGAAATCACCCCTAGCGCTATGTAACCACTTGGAGAGAGCTGCTTTCTCCACCTCACTGTTTTGGAGTCGTCGTCCATCGAGATCCTTTTTCAGCGCACCGAACCCATGATAATCGCATAGCGCCAAGTCTGGACTGTATGGAGGACGTTGCCATACCTCCCACTTGAATCGCTGCAGCAGTTCGGACGTTTGGTGGGCCATGTGAAGTGTTCCGTTACTGTAAAACAAATCACTCCGGCACTCAATTTCCCCTGCCGACTTTAATTGCCTTACGGAAACCGGTTGAACGTTTGACAATACAAACGCACCTCCACTTTGAAGTGAGCCTCCAGTTATTGCGCCATTGAGCCTAGCCCGCTCTGCTGCCCACACCACACGACGGGTACCACACCAACCTTCCTATCGGATATATCAGCAGTTACTGTAGCTCGTTCCGCATTAATCACGGTCATGACACACAGCATGCTCCCGCGGCGAGCTAGTGTAACTGATTGTTTGATTCGCCAACGTATATCGATCGGTGAATATCAATTTTGGAGAAATTGGCTGATCCGTTTAGGCGCTAGTGTTGACCAGAGACATACCGATAGACACACTTCCAGACAGGCGGACAGACAGACGTTTTTGCCGTTAATCGATTTTTCGATGTCAAGAACTCAAAATGACGATTCTGACAACACGACGTATTAGAGAAAGAGTTTTTATGTTGATAATTTGCGGTTTTCCGCCGGATGATTACAATACTTTTTCTTCTAACGAAGAAATCGCGAGAACGAAAAAATATACAAGCTCTTTCTTAGAACAGATTTCATTGAGACAAAAATATCTATCCTATATTGTGCTTTTGCAGCGTTAAATATTTGCAATTTTCGAAAATACAGAGTTTAATGAAAATAGGACTAGCACTATTTTTTATTTCACTCACTTTCTTTCTAAGAAGAGAAGGTTTTCAAATAGTGTGCCCGAAAACGGTGACTTTTGGGCAGAAGGACTCTCATTGCCTATCTCTGGTTACCTGGAATTGGATAAATTATGTTCCTCTGTATAGTAAATTATTTGCTCTAACAAGTTGTGTAGTCAGAATCCATGTTTGGTACGTTCTGGATATCGAAAAATCGATTGACGGGACGTCTTTGCCCCATCTTTCAGTATGTGGTTCAATGCTAGCGCCTACACCGTTCGGCCGATTTTCTCCAAAATTGATATTCCTCGATCGGTCTGAATGAACTCGAGGCTATGCGAGTTTCAGATGGTTAATTTGAGGGTACTTTACACAAAGCCCCAAAAACATTTTCAAAATTGTCTCAATCATTATTGAGAAGCTCCAAATTATCTGAACCAACTTTGTCTTCGGATAGCAAAAAAGACGCTTAAAAGAATGGTACATATCTTATTTTCGTAAAATCCCTAGTTTTTCGAAAATCGACAAAAGGCAAATTTTTTCGATGACTTCCTACAACTACAATATTGAAGATAGAGATATTTTTCTGGCTAAAATCTGTTCTGTAAAAACAGGTCTTCAATAAGGTCATGTAGAAATTTTCGAAAATATTAGTAGTTGTTGCGTTATTTTCCGTAAAAGTCAGGTAATTTTTAATATTTTACAATAACTTTTTCCTCAAGAATCGCAGCAAATTTTTTCTATAAATTTTCTTGTCGCATATATTAATCGATGGTAAAAAAATAGTCCTAGACTAAATTTTGTCAAACTCTCCATATTTTTGAAAATTTCCAAAAGTTAACATTTCAAAATTAAAAAATTGAAGATGAAAATGTTTGCGTTTTATAATCTGTTCTAGTCAGATGGCCGAGATTACCAAGACAGTAGTGCCGTAGTGGTCTCGGACCAGAAGAGTCCCGCCTAGGCGTACGTCTGTGTATGTGCGTCGTCCTTTGCCCCTCATTATCATCATAATTTCATCTTCCATAAACCCAAGGCTAACAACGTTGGGGAATAAAAATCGTATCTAACTAAATTCTAATCCCATGATAAATTACATGCACATGTCAACCGAGATAATGTTACTGAGCCACGATAAATGCAAAGTGCATACACGCGTGGCGCAAGTGGGCCTATTCACAAGCAAAAAAATGTTCTAAAAATTCATATCATTCATATATTTTGTTTGGAGACAAAATGAACAAATACCACAAACATCCTTTCTGCTTCAAGATTTTTGTTTAGTTTGACACGCATTGCATCAGCTGATGTGATTTGGTTTAACATGTTCGTATTTCAAGCAGCAATAGTCCAGCCTCTTTAGTTCGATTACCTGAAAGAATCATTTCAGTGCAATCAAAGCGCTTTTATTCATAAATTTACTCCAACGTTAGCTTCTTAGATCTCATTGAACACGTATGTCAAGACAGTCAATGGTATGCGCTTTTTGCAATGACGCTGATTTAAAAAGTCACATGCTTTCTCATTCTTCTACAAATTAACATTTAATTCCTTGATAATTTTCACCTTGTATAATCTTCTTCTTCCTTTCAAGAATTACGCATTAGTGCCTGTTCCGTCTTTATTTGCACTTGACGACCATTTCTTCCTGGGACTTCCGACATCTCTTCGTCCTTTTTTTCTTCTACCTTGACGCAAAGCGTCTCTAAACCCCTACAAGGGCATTGATCGCTCGCATTTGGAGTATGCCTCCGTTAACATATTTTGTTGCATTATATAGTGATCCTCCGTTAAGATATTTGTTTAAATTTGTCCAGTCCCGTCGCAGTCAGTTGTTAAGAGGACCGCCAAATAGCATCTCCGCGTACGCGCCTCTTACACTGCACACTCCTGCGTACCTACCCAGAGGCCAGAATGGGGGAACGAATTAGGATAGAGGTAGAGTTTAGAACGCTTCCCTGGGAAGCGGGCAAATTCGTTTTGTTGGAACGAATTCCTCATGAGATTCGCTGGAAATCGAACCCGAAACGCCTTGATGAAAGGCGAGGGACTTCGCTCTGGGCCACAAGTATCATCCTTTCGGATGTTTCTTCATCACTTGGGATTCATCATTGGAATTCTTTCTTCGTCCATTCTTTCAACATGGTTCTTCTCTGTTTTCTTCTATATTTTCATTTACATTATATATATATATATATATATATATATATATATATATATATATATATATATATATATATAGGTAGATAGATAGATAGATAGATATCCTGGTTTTTCGGATATCTTCGTTTTTTATATGGTCTTGTTTTAAGCAGCCTTTAACTTTCCTGAGAAATCTCATCTGCTTGAATTTTGTTTTGATATCTCTTTTTCATTATCCATACAGGAAAATTGGAGCCGCAATTGTCTTATAAAATTTCATTTTTGTGCATTTCCTTGATTTATTCTGAATTCTATATCGCAACCATGACAATTAAAATCGTAAATTTGATCAATCACTGTGACGTCAATTACTATTTCTGAGCGGGCGGGTATTTACCATAATGGTCTATAACAATAGTCTCCTCTTTAGATATTCAGAGATTATACTCATTTTCACCAAGTTTATGTAGTCTACATAGCGCTCTTTGTAATTCTTCTTCTCTTTCTTGCAATATTGTTACATCATCGGCGTAAAGAATAATATTTAAATGTTTGTTTTTGTAGGGCATTTTCATTTTTGACAATATGAAATTATAGTCATTTTTCTTTATGTTGGTAGCATTTTTTCTTTTCTTCTTGCCTGTCTGTCTCGCGATACGTGTTGTCATTGTTCGATCGTTTTTGAAGAAAGTAAAAAACTATGTATTCTTTATATAGAATAAAGCATCAACTTTATACTCGAATTCTATCTCGAATTTTATTTAAGACGTTCTCTATCTTTAACAGTTATTCAACTGTATTCCGGTACTAACAACATATTTCCATTTGTATAATTTATACATGAATTTGAAGCCTAAACCCTAAGGTCCCAAGGACTTTTATCGAAGCTCCCACCAAAAAGTGAGGCTTTAGGAATAAAGCAGGTACAATGAGTTACAGCAGTTACTTGAGATCGTTTCCCTGTCCTACCGTTCCTTCATCCATGCATTTGTAACATCGTCATGTAGAGCAACGGTGATGAAGGAGAATGGCAGAGGACGATCATAATGATATTGATGATACATTCGACAGGGAACATGAAAGCTATGTGTGAACAGAGAATCGAATTTAGTAATCACTAGATTGAACAAAAAAATTCAATGTTTTGGCATATCTGAATTTTAGTTGATTGTTCTGAGACTGATGTACCTTTGAATGCCAAGGGGTACAGGAGACACATCTTATCATTGCACAATGATAAGTGGATGGAATATGATATTGTAACAAAACTAGATTTCTACGTAAGCACGTAGTAAAATACCATCATCAATATTTGGATTAATAGTTTCGATTTTTGAAAAATTACACTTCTTTTTACTTTCTCGCCCTTATTTCCTAAGAAGAGAAAGTATTGTAATCGTGCGACGGAAAACGGCAAACTTTCAACAGAAAAACCCTTATTACCCCACTACCGTAAGTTAACGTGGATACATTTTGTTCCTATATATAGTAAATTACTTCCTCTAAGACATTGATTAGTATGAATCCATGTTTTATGCGTCCAGAATACCGACAAATCGTTTGACGGCAAAACGACTGTTTCTCTGTTCGTCCCTACGTCCGTCTGTGGTCAACGCTATAGTCCAGGCCGCGAATTAGGCCGCACTAGATTCGCAACATGGCAGCAAAGGAATTTCCTGTCGGAATAGCCAACTTATAAAACTAACTTTCTGATCCACTCTCTCGCTTTTATTATGTTTGTTCTCATCCACTGCTAGCGCGATTGAAGACTTCACAGTACAATCACGTATGTCTCGTTTTTTGTTAGAAGTAAACCCAATTTTCATCTGCAAACGAATATTTATTCGGCGAACTATTAAGCTAAATAACAGCTATTATTATCCGCAAGTGCGAGCATGAGATATGTTAGTGTTTCAAGTGAAATTGGAAAGCCCCAAATTAAAAGTTTTTTTGGGGGGGTTTGTGCTAAAAGTTATCTACTAACTAGTGTTAATAATGCTTTTGGGATGGTAGTGTTATCAATTTTTTCACGGTGTGTCTGTTAATAATGATCTATATTGAAAAAAATTAATCTCACAATTATGTAAGATTATTAATTTACGTATATATGCTAATTTTTATGTGATCTAATGAATTGATTCTAACACACCAGTGATATCGATATTAACGCAAAT